TTGACTTCACAACAGATCTTAACTTCCGTCAGGAACTTCTGTTTGTCAATAAGGTTTTTTTTTTATCTGCGTTTGCCATGTAAGGATTGTTGTAACAAACTATTAAATCAATCTTATAATTTATTTTTATATTATCTGGCGTACTTTTATTGTGTAAGATAATATGTGCCTGTTTTGGGTTAAGCGGCTTTAAAGACAAAAATATCTTCTAAAGAGGTACCTACATGAATTTATTATAATGGAAATTTTTCTGTACTACATAAAATATATAATAAATATATTTACTATTATAAAGAGTATAAAAAACAGTAGAGAAATGAGGGTTCTGTCTGCTTTGTTTTTTAGTATGAACAAGTTAAACGTGAACTTTTGCACTTTAAAAAAGCAATACCATTTTCACCAATCCGCCAAATCAATTTCGTATTTTGATGTTTAACGGACTTAATAGACGATAATGAACAAGTAATTAACAAGTAATAATTAAACTGTATGACAAACGGGTTTATTTAGCTTTTTAATCATGAACTTCCCTACTAATATACATGTACTTATATTTCTACATCATCTGCATGTGGTGTTTTTGTCTCTCAACTGATTCGATGCGCATGCGTACGCTTTACACACGAGAAGTATTTTAACGGAGGCAACATCTTGACTTACATGTAAAAAGAATTTCAACAACCCTCTTTAAAGCAGTGTTGGGGTCAATTACAATTACCATAATCTTTTATTCATTAAAATTACAATTAAATTACTGGCTTTCTAAGACATGAAATTAATTAAATACAATTACTTTTAAAAAGTATTTAATCAATTTACAAATTATATTTAAAAAAAAAAATTATAACCCTTTTTTAATTAATATACAGCACTTCATTCACTTGTATATAAATTCAGCCTCTGCACAAACAATACAAGAAATAATATGCTATAGGCAATGTGTATCTTTGTGATTTAATTTACAACTTTTATTTACAAAACATTAAAAAACAATCCGAGATCATTTTGACGCAGTTTCTTCCACACAAAGATACATGTACACAAAAAATTGCACGACTTATGATATTTGATTAAGTGATTTTGATAGAGTAAAATAAGTCGCAGCTGTTACCCCTCAAATTGAATTTTTCTTTTGACGTAACTGAAACATACGAAATTGATGTTTATGTTGAACATTTTGAACATAAATAATACTTGTACAGAACATAACTTTGTCGGATACATTTAAATTCATTCATAAATATCTTTCGGATGTTAATTGAGAGTTTTTCTTTTCTAACGCTAGCGGGGCATTTTTAATTCAAATAATATCCATTGACTTTGTCTTCAAAATCATGGAATGAATACCTCATTAGAGGAGTGAACTGATTTGTTTTGATTGCAATTTACAGCTGTGGTCTGGAGGGCAAATATCTCTTACCAACAAGAGAGAATTTAATACACACACATTCTTTTTCATTATTATTGATTAAACGACAGAAAATGAATTGTGTTAAATTTGACTTTCACAGCTGAATAGACCTAAGAAGGTACAAAATTCAGATAAACATAAAACATTACAAATTACATATTGATTAGAAAGAAACTAGATTATTATTATGGTATTATCAAGCCAATTATTTATTTGCTTGTAAACACCTACTTAAGATTTTGTATCATTGGAGGATTATTGATATGTTTTTCAGTAAAATCGAGAGGTAGTGGTGACAATATTTCATGAATGTGTATCATTTTAATTAAATGAATGTATTTGAAATCGTAATTGAAATTACATGGCATATTTTTTTCATTTTTTCACATCGATTCTTAATGAACGACTTAATATATTTTCTGATGAGATTAAAGTAACACATGAAAATCAAACAGGATTTAGAAAGGGTTATTCAACAATTGATATTTTATTCTCAATACATATTTTATTCGAGCTTCTTAAATCAAAAAAGAAAAAAACTATTTTGTTTGTTTGTAGATTTTGAAAAAGCTTTTGATAACGTATGGAGGAAAGCATTGTGGTTTAAACTTTTATCTCACAATATTAAGGGCAAAATTTATGACATTATTTTGAATATATACAGTCAGATAAAATCCAGAATTGTCTATGATCAAGAACAGTAAGTTTTTTTAATGTGCAAATGGTGTTAGACAGGGTGAAAATATGTCATCGTTTTTATTTTCTATGTATCTTAACGATTTACACGATTTCCTGAATGCATCCAATATTGAAGGTTTATCAACTATATCAGAGATGTTTGAAAACAAACTAAATATATTTGAAAAATTATTTGCAATCTTATACGCAGATGGCACTGTATCGGTTGCAGAATCTTCTGAAGAGCAAGGAAAACAACTAGATAGCTTCTGTAAATATTGTAAAAAATGGAAATAAAGATAAATATCGACAAATCGAAAATATTAATATTTAGTAAAAGTAGACGTGAAGAAAATATACAAATGCAGTATGATGGTAAGGAAATAGATCTAATAACATAATTTAACTATTTGGGAGTTATTTTATGTAAATCTAGCTCATTTATAACGGCAAAAAAGAAAATAGCCGAAAAGGCAACAAAAGCACCATACGAAGTATTAAAAAAGGGAAGATTACATAACCTATCAATACAGTGTCAGCTAGATCTATTTGATAAAATTGTGCAACCTATTTTGTTATATGGATGTGAAGTTTGGGTATTTTCAAATAATGCAATAATAGAAAGGGTTCACTTAAAAAAAATGTAAACTTCTACTCCATTTTAAAGATTCAGCCCCAGATTTTATGATATATGGCGAACTTGGCCGCAACCCATGGAAATCCAAATAAAAACACGCATGATATCTTATTGGTCAAAATTAATCACTGGAAAGGAAATTAAAATTGCAAATTTATGTTATAAATTAGGCTTCATTATAAATCAAGAAATAGGAGGGAAATTGTTTGGCTTGAAAATATCAGAAATATCTTAAATAACTGTGGACTCTCAAATGTATGGCTTGAACAAAACCCAATTAATATTAAATGGTTAAAGGCGAAAGTTAAACTCACATTATTGGATCAATTCAAACAAAGTTGGCAATCAATCCTTCAAACCTCACCCAAAGCTTTAAATTATAGAATATACAAAGACGAACTAAAATTTGAAAACTATTTTAATATTTTATTAAAAAAGGACTTAATAACATTTTGTAGATTTCGAATGTGTAACCATCAATTATCAATTGAAAGTGGACGCTGGCTTAATATACCAAGACAAGATAGAATTTGTCCCCATTGTATTCTAAAAGAACTCGGAGATGAGTTTCATTACATTTTAAAGTGCAACTAGCTACAAACATTAAGAAAAATATGCTTAACAGAAAAACACATTCAATTCCAGAATATAATAAGTTTTGAAAACATTATGAATGACAATAAACACTGCTTTCTAAGAAAATTGTGCTCCTTTGTAAAGAAAATAAATAAAATATGCTCCCTGGCCTAAATTCCCATACTTCACATTTATAGTAAACTACAATTTTTTTGTTTTTGTTTAGTTTCTTACTCACGCATGCCTTTCTAGACCTATTGTTGTATATGAGAGCAACTATATGTTTTTGTAGTCTCTGTTCGCTATTGTAAAATGGAGAAGAGATTCAAATAAATGATTGAGTGTAATTAATTAAATTACTATTACAAGTAATTGAAAAAAATGTTCAAATTACTTCCAATAACTTAAAAAATGTAATTAATTGCAGTTAGTTAGAGTTACTTTTTTTCATTTACCCCATCCATGCTTTAAAGTCAGCTTTTTTGCAGATATATAGATATAAATATTATAATGTTATACTGACATTGTCCCTAAATAAAACCAATCATTAGTTTCTAATTTGTTTGAGAAATTTCATACCATTTGTTAAGTCATTCCTTATAAGCTTAATAAGAAAACAGACAAGTCTGACTTTCTGATCTATACAATTGGTTCGCGGCGGGTGTGACCAGTCACAGGGGATGCTTTCTCCTACTCGGCACCTGGTCCCACCTCTGGTGTTTCGAGGGGTCCTTGGTTTTGTCCTGTTTTGTCTAGAATTTTTTCTGAGAATGATTACTGTTCGTTATCTTCCGCTTAACATGACAAAATACTAGTACTGGAAGGTTTATAACTGCATGTAAATTCAATTGAACACTGAGGCATGCAGCAAGGAATTTTTGAACTTGGTAATAATTTAATTCTGGTTGTAACGCTGTATTTGATTGGATAAAAAAAATTACTTCATATCGTATAAAATGAGTTGCCTACGTCACAATGACTTGCTTCAAAAAACGTATCAATCTGCCTGACGTTACATTCAAATTTTGTACAAATTAAAGTAATTTTGTTGCAAGAAGGATATGGAGATAACGAACAGTATTCAATCTCAAAGTCCATTAAACAATATACAAAATAAGAGCAGAGCAAACACGGACCTCCGAAACATCAGAGGTGGGATCAGGTGCCATGGAGGAGTGAGCATCCCCTGCCGACCGGTCACACCCGCCGTGTGCTCGTTGTCATGATCAGAAAATAACGGAAAAAATCCGTCGTCAATTCAGTGTATAAATAATGGACTAATAATTGATATGAAAAACGTCAGTCAGCATTTGACTTAATGATAAATTGTATTTGCTGACAAGGTCATTGTATCGACCATAGAACTAACGAAATGAAGACTTTAAAGGAGACTGTTGATATTCTTGTTTCATCAACTTGCTTGTCAATAATTTACCTCATTTAAGAAATTGTTCATACGTAGAGCATGCTCTTGCGTATCGAATCAACTGAGATATATAACGCTGTAACAATCATCTTTTTTTCTAACATCAAATGAATGAAAATTAAGTTATAAGCAATGAATTTAATAGCTACCCATTTTATACGGTATAAACTGGGTTGGCTTTTTTATAAACCGCTTCGCGGGTAAAATGGGTAGCTATTATTAAATTCATTCCATAAATAAAATGATGTTTAATTTCAGGCAAAAGGGCAAACCTGATTAAACTGAATCCAGTAAATCCCTGTGTCTGTAGAATTCCAGGTAATGATTTCATCTTTCCACTTGACATAAAGGTAGGCTGTGGTCACCATCTTCTGATTAACGGCACTGACGTCATTAATACTGGAAATCCATAGACTCATCTCCATTTGTAAAGACTCTCCTTGATTTTTGATCGGACGGGTCTTACTAGAATAATTAGCAAGGAGAGAATCTCTCAAAGTATTGTATTGTTCTATGGTGTATGAAAGATGGGTACATCTTGCTATACAAACAGTCATTAAAATCCCAATCAGAAGTTTCCAGATCATTTTTGATGGTCTGGAAAATAACATGGTTAGCATCTGTAGGATGCAAAAAATTAGGTCTTTTAAAAAACATAAGTCTAAAATAAATTGAAAAAGCCTTTCACTTATGTATACTTCATTTATCCATCCCCAACTCGAGTACGCTTCAGTTGTACGGGGTGGTTGTCTATCTATCGATTCGGAAAAATTAGAGAAATTGCAACTACACGCAGCTCGGATTGTTACTGGACTAACTATGATTGCCTCTAGAGACTCTTGTATTTTGAAACAGGCTGGAAACCACTCAGAGACAGACGCAAGATCAAAAGATTAAATACCATGTAAAGAATTCACAATAAATTAGTTCCAGATTATCTATCTGAGATTATACCAGATATGCGATGTAATGCTTCTGCATATACAACAAGAAACTCACAAAATTAAAGTATACCTGTTTGTAAATTGCAAACTTACAAATCATCGTTTGTACTAACTGTAATACATGAGTGGAATTCCTTATCGCTGAATACCAGACTTTCGAGCTCTTTGTCTGCTTTCAAAAGTAAAATTAAACGAAAAATAACAGAAGCTTCGCCTTATTTTAATTTTGGTAAAAGATGCAACAATATATTGCATACACGGCTTCGGCACAACTGCGCTCTAAACGCTGATTACAGCCCGGAGGACCGGGCTGCTCTATACATATAAGTTTAAGTGGTGTATGGGGATGGGAGAAGTTATTCAAAATTAAAGATTGTAAATCAGAATGTTCTTTCCCTTTATAAATTACTTGGTATACAATATATTTACTACCATATTAAGCGAATCTGTAAAATATGTGTTTTTCATACTTAATATATATATAATGCTGCTTGTCACTTACTATCGAAAAACGGCAGGTCTCTTTTTTTTTAGAACATCAAATTTACTTATCGCATAAAAACGTACTTCACCATGATTACTCAGTTCGTGTTTTTATTCTTAAGGTAAAATGCATTTTTGAAAATAGGTGATGCATGGGTTTGGTTTCAAGAAGAAGGTATTGTTTTAGTATTTTGGCGCCCTAAAAATGTAATGACATCAAAAAGTTTTGAAACTGGCTTAAATATTAGTTAAATAAATGACTTTGATAAATCAGGAAAAAATATGGCATGAGGGTTTACCATTCTGCAAATATGACGTCATTAATGTGAAGCATTTCTCTATTTTCAACAGAAAAAGCCTCAAAATGGCACATTTCAAGGCTGATTTTCCTTTAGAAAACAGTGTCCACAGTCGTCGCCCACGTTAATTTTTTTATATTTTGTGTAAAATTCAGTAATAAATCACATATCTCAAGATCTTTGCGGGCGATGCCTGTGGACAATGTTATCTGAAAGAAAATTCCATTGAAAATTGGTGTCTTCTGCAACTTTTAAAGAAAATACGGGAAAATGCACATGTTTATGACGTCATAATTCGCATTTCAAAACACATGTGGGAAAAATGACTTGTATGATTTTTCTGCATTGAATTTCAATTATTTAAAAAGTATGATTTTTTAAATTTTACACCAGTTGCATTTTTTAGAAAATCACAGGGCAAAATTTGTATGAAAACCATACCTTCTTCAAATATTTTATGCAGCCAACATTTACTTGAAAAATTGATAAAGTTTAAAAGGGTATTGTTTTCCATCGATATTCATCCGACTGTAACAGTGTGTAAGTTTTCAAAATATTCTAGATTATCGTCTCCATCATTTAGACGCATGTCTTTTTCATACACCTCGAAGCGGTTTGATGATCAAGACTCATTTCCATTGTTTACAAATACTAAAATTTTTGATCGTTTACTAAAAAAAAAATAACACTTTTTATGGATTTTGGCTCAAATCTGTACATATATTAGAAGCATTTAAAAGCCAACATAGTTCTTGTATGTGTGAAAAATCTTATTTATTTGATATAGTTTGAAACTTTAATCCCTTATTATTAATTTAACTTACATTTGAAAATTTCGTATAGTCTTTGATTGCATAAAATTATACCTAAAGTCAATGTTCTATAATAATTTTGAGAGGCAGAAAAGAAGATATTTTCATACGTCACCATTCCGCCAAAAATATAGCCCCTGCTAGTTTTCAAACGCAGTTTACCATTTCTATTTAAAGTTGTATAATTGTGATGAGGAAAGAAAAATATGGCCTTTTAAATCTCATACATTTAAATATATAAGAAATATCAACAAATGTACTTTAAATATTCCATCTAGTCAGAAACCAGATAAAAATTCTACCTTAAAGATGCTTTTAGGCAATCTGTTTTCATGTTTTATAGAGACTCCGTATTTGCTTAGCGAATGAGGCTAATATTTTTGTCGATTTATGGTATTCTATAGAAACTTAAGTTTAAAGCTGACATAAACTCTTAAAGAGCCATCATTTTTCATCTTTGTACGACTTACTATATTCCTGTACACCTTTGTCCGCCATATTTCTTCGATTCCGCCATATTTAATTGAAAAATTTTGGTTACCTGTACCTGCTATATATAGCCTTGTACGATTGCTTCACTTGAGTGATTTTCTAGCCTGACTGTCGACATGTACACATCTCCGATAACAAAGTTTTTTAGAAGTCCATAAACTGAGCAAATACATGTTTGAAAAGTAAAAATTCAACAAAAAATAGAACTATACCGAGAATTAAATTATTTTTGAATGCATTTGATGCAAAATAGAAAATAAACTAACACGGAATACATACATGTACACCAAACACCCATGCAGGTCGAGAAAACGCGTCAAACGCAGTGATAAAACCATTTACCTGACTACTGCTATCGTTACAGGGATATGCACATGTCGAAAGAATTATCCTATTTTACTTTTATTGAAAAATGCATCTCAGAAGTCATGTAATCCATTGCTAACTCAACAGTAAAAGATGCTTGGACACACGTGGCCCATGCCGATCATTTTATTTCGTCAGGGAAAATATCAAAGGTTGAAAGCTCAGTGTGGTTGATTGAAAAAAAGATGCAAGTAATTTTTTAAAAAATAAACATTACTCTTGTCTGTTCATGTTGTAAATAAAATTTACGATTAATTACATGGTTTAACTTCATCAAATTCATTAAAAAAAAGCAGGCATTATTACGAATCATTCACCTTTTGAAGATATTTTCCCGTGATATGAGGGGGGGGGGTAATAAAACATGCATAACACTCTCATGAAAATAATGTAAGAAAAACGTCTCAAACAGACTGGATTTCTTTATGATCAATTATCATCAAATAAATACTGTGTATTGGATTTATTAGACCTAATATGATTTGATTCAAAGTTATTTATAATTTTATGCACTATGAAAGAAAAAGTGAGCACGTTCACATACCACACTCTCCCCCAAAAGTCGAAGTGCTGAAATTCCCAGAAAAAAAATAAAGGAATCGCAATTTCCTTGTAATATGAACATCTATACACATTGTGTCCTAAATATCTGCAAAGTTTTACGAAATTGTATGCAGCGGTTTATGAGGAGTTGCGCTGACAAACCGTTCACCTCTATATTCAAGATATGGCCAAAATCTAAATGTAAAATTGCAGAAATTCCCGAAAAAATAAAAAATTCGGAATTTCCTGGAATATCCTGGTGATGTGCAAATCTACACACACATTGTCTCCTATAAATATCTGCAAAGTTCAACAAAACTCTGTGCAGTGGTTTATGTGACGTTGCACTGACTGACGGGTCAAAAACATTATATCTCACGCCTGGGGTATAATAAACGAGTTTGATTCTTTGGTACAATGATAATGAAAATAGAATTTAATGTGAATTAAATTTCTAGACATAAATAATTAAAGATTATTAGAAAAAGCATATAGGAAGAGAGAGTAAACTCCTCGTGAGAATTCCACATTCTACCTAAAACTAGCTTTTTAAAAATTCTCTTGTCTGTTGTCCAAGTTCGACAAATACGTTTGAGGAGGTATTCGAGAAAGTTCCCAATGTTCCTATTCCTGTGATGTATATTTCACGTTTATTTTATCCCTCGCCAGAAAAGTGGGAGGTTATATAGTAATCGCTATGTCCTTCCGTCTGTCTGTTACGCTTTGGGGTACCAATCTCCTATCCGCAAATCCTCTTATACCACTTAGAGAAATTTAATGAAACTCTCAAAGAATCTTAAGTTTATTACATATTACCATTATGCACCTCCTATTTTACTTTTTGATCTGACACGTATGGGTTTAGCGAAATATGGACTTTGCCATTATAACCATATGGGAGGCAAGGGGTATCATTTAGTGAGCTCATTGCTCATAATACATTTACGTCTAGTTTCTCTTTCAATTTGGGCGTTAGGGTTAATTTCTTGTCCAAAGTAAAATTATTATTCAATTTATGAAGCTTCGACATCCCGCCTGAAAAAAAATCCTTGATCTGTCCTAAGGCATAATAAATGGTACAGCACAAAGTGTGTAGGATTTTATACCTATCATTGCCCCAACGGGTGGTTACAGACAGAAAGAGAGAGAGTTCAATATACAAAAGAATAAATAATAATAATCCGTATTCAACCAGTATCAAGTATCCCTACCCTAGCTTTTAGAATTATCTCCCAAATTCACCTCAAGAAATTATATATATATATATATATATATATATATATATATATATATATATATATATATATATATAAATATATATATATATATATATATATATATATATATATATATGTATATATATAAAACACCAGTACCTAGACTATCAGGCAGGGATACTGAAATCTCGAAATACTTCCTGTAAAAAACATAATTATAAAACAGTTACATTCCTCAAAATGCACATACTTTGTGGTGGGAGTGACACATTTCAAATAAAAAAATTCAAAACTGAATTTGGCAGAAATCTATGTCTTCCAAGAATATTTGAATAACGGTCATGTCAATTATTTTTGTATGCCCCCCCCCCCGTCCAAAAAATCAAATGCCTAAATGTAAATATGAACTGGGGATGGCCTTTCTCCGTGTGTGTATGTGTTAAAGAATGTATAGATGTAGACATAAAAATTTGTATTCTGGTTAATTGCTTTTAAGATTTGAAGTAAATTATTGCCGTACATCAAATTACTTGGTTTAGATTTGAGATTAGTACTAAAATAATCAGTTATAATTGATAAATGAATTTTGCGACGCAAATCAACTGCAGACTATATACATGACGTTGTATAAGATGTATGTTAGAACTACATGTAGATAAACAATTCACAATTATAGCTTATGAACATCAGTTAAATTACCCCCCCCCCCTTTCAGCCGCGCAAATACCAAATAACTTCTCTTTCCACTTGTGATATTTTCCCTGGCCAAAATCTGATCGGCACGGACTAAGTGTATCGACATGCTAGTGTGTACGGAGAAATGACAGTGTGTTTACTATTGAGTTTGTATGGAGTTTATTTCTTTTTTGTGATGCATATTTCAATAAATGGAATTCAGGGTGAATATCACTTGATTTGTGTACATCTTCGAACCGATGCAGTAACCTTATTACCAGGTATGGGTACGTTTACAGCATTCGAGGCGTTTTCTCGATATGCATCAATTGCATAGGACCTGCAAATCAAAGACGTTGGTTGTTTTCTTCCATTCAAATGATATAATTTCAAAATGTATTTGCAAATTTTACTGCTTTTTATTTCAAGTTTATTCTGCATAAATTGGCGCACTGTAAAAATACGTACTCATGCATCTAAATTTCTCTTCCAAACTTGCATTTTTTTCTTTTGATTTAAATCCATAAATATTCAAAAATATTATTATTATGTTGTTTATTTGGTTTTTGAAATGTCTTGATCACCTCATGTGTTCTCATATGCTTTACCATCGGAGATGTGCACAAGTCGATACCCAATCCAAAAAAACAATTCAAGTGTAACGAGCGCATTGGGGTATACATCGTTACAATGAGACAAGGTATCTGAAAGAAATATGGCGGAATACGGCTATAGTTGGTATGAAACAAGTCGTACATAGATGAAAATGTTGCGTTTTTACGAATTCATGTCAGCTTTAATTTCTGATTTATTCCCTTACGATTTTGATGACTTTTTTTTCTTGCGCTCCAAAACATGCAAAAGGAATTTGCTTCCTATGGGTCTGCTGTATTAATATACTAGTACACAAAATATAATTTTCAAACGTAATGACTAAAAAAAATAAGATGTGTTTGTGAAACACAGGTGCCCCCGCAAGGCAACATAACGATGGTTAAGCTTTCTCAAATGCAAATCAAATATGTTGGTTCCTAAAGTAAGGCCTTTTTACAAGCAATACAAATGTGAAATATAAAACCCTAGCACCACCTTTTCAAGGGTTACCACCAACGTTAACATTTTTAAAAGTAGGACAAAGTAGGGTTCAAGGTCTAGGTAAAAATATGTTTAAAGTAGGCGCTCCGCGCCCTCGATTTCCACGCCCCATGAAAACGATATAATCAATGCTACTCGGCTTCTATGATGTAACCTACACATATATCATTTTTCATGAAAAGGACGTTAAAGCCAAAAATGTCATCTAGTTAGGTATCCACATGAATGTATTATAATGTAAAATTTTCTTGTACTATATACAATATATTATAACTATATTTACTATTTAATATTATAAAGAGTTTAAAAAACAGAAGAGAAATGAGGGTTCTGTCTGCTTTGTTCTTTATTATAAACAAGTTAAACGTGAACTTTTAGACTTTAAAAAAGCAATACCATTTTCACCAATCCGCCAAATTCAATTTCATATTTTGATGTTTAACTGACCTAATAGACGATACTGAACAAGTAATTTACAAGTAATAATTTAACTGTGTGACAAACGGGTTTGATTTAGCTTTTTTATTATGAACTTCCCTACTAATACACATGTACTAATATTTCTACATCATCTGCATATCGGATGGTGTTTATGTTTCTCGACTGATTCGATGCACATGCGTACGCTTTACACACGAGAAGCATTTTAACCGAGGCAATCTACTGACTTATATGTCAAAAGGATTTCTTCAAAAACCCTCGTTAAAGCAGTGTTGGGGTCAATTACAATTACTTTAACCTTTTATTCATTAAAATAACAATTAAATTACTGGCTTTTTAAGATAAGAAATTAATTAAATACAATTACTTTTCAAAAGTATTTAATTAAATTACAAATTACATTTTTTTTAAATTGTTATAACCCTTTTTAATGAATATACGGAACTTCATTAACATGATTAACTTGTATATAAATTCAGCCTTTGCACAAACAATACAAGAAATAATATGCTATAGGCATTGTGTATCTTTGTAATTTAATTTTTAACTTTTATTTAAAAAAACATTAAAAAGCAATCCAAGATAATTTTGACGCAGTTTCTTCCACACAAACATTCGTGTACACAAAAGATTTCACGGCTTATAAGTAATGGTTATAAGACGAAAACTGTCCATTATGTCAGATATTAGACGACCCGAGGGGTGTTAGCGCCGAGGAGAGTCTAATATCTGACATAATGGTCAGTTTGAGGCTTATAACTTACTTAAAATATTTCACCATTGTCGAACACTTCCATTGTTAACTTATTGGACAGCCACAGGTAAGGTTTCGTTCTGCTCTGCTTGGATGACTACCTGGCACTGTTCATCAAGTTAGGCCAAAGAAAACCAGTTTTGACTTTTCTTCTGATTTTATTAATAGTAGGAATCATCGAGAGTTGTTTTATATCGAAAAATATGAACATTACGTAAAGGTTATAGGCCAAAAAATGTCCATTCTGTGAGAAGAAAGAACTGTTGGAGGGCCGTTAGGCCCGACAATAGTTCTTTTTTCTCACAGAATGGACAGTTTGAGGCCTATAACCTACTTAAAAGATTTACCCCATTGTGTTCATAATGTACTCTCTTAGAACTTTTTCTCATCCATTGTATTAAGTTAGCATTGTCTACTTATTGGACTGTCTCAGGTGAGGGTTTTATGACAGTCAAAAGAAACTTGTATTCATTGTTATTGTTAACTTAGTGGACAGTTACAGGTAAGTTCAATTTTTAAACAGCTGACTAATATTTCATCACAAGGCATGAGATTCCATCACCATTTTGATGTGATTGTGAATGTTGAAAGCATGTCTTCTTCCAAGGAAGCATATTTTGATGCAAAACAACTTCAGATATGAAGGGCAATGCATAACGGGGTAGGTCATTTTTGTGATATTTTGAGCCTAGGATTGTCAAGAAAATGAACTTTGAGCTCAAGGTGGACGTTTTATTTTTCAAATATTTCTCAACGTTTGATCAAGGGTTTTCAAGGATGCAGAAAAACAAAGGGAACGTAGAAAGGTTTCCGTAATTTATTCAGATGATTTAGAAGAGGATAATCAGAGCAGAAATGTAAATGGGTACTTATTGTGTTATTTAACTGACAGAGAGAATGTTACACGGTACCAAACGTTGATGTACGTTAAGGTGTAATAGATAAAGAAATCAACAAAATAAAAAGCTTTCTTTTCGCCAGAATCAGAAACAAATCGGGAGATGAGTAGATAAGGCTATTGACAAAACACCCTTGCATTCCTGTAGCAGAAAAACGATGGATGTGTTTCTGTAGAAAAATGAGAAAAATTATTCAAAGTACAAGTGAGAAATAAGAATTTAAGGAGCGACTGTTTCTTGCCAGGAGAAGTGATATCCCCTCGTGTGTTGTTGGTGCAAATTACATTCTAATAGTATTCAGATCGAGATATTTCCTTCAAATTTAAGTTTTGATGTTGATTGTGAGCTGGAATGTACATTTCATCATTTATTGGAATAATTACAATGTTTCAGTTTTTGTGACTTGGAATGGATTATTTAATTACACTGTGAAACTGTTGGATTCATTGCCTGAAAAATATTTATTTGTGTTTATTTGTGTTGTGTTTTCTTAATCTAGTAAATTACCTGTAGCCATCCAATAAGTAACTGAAAACTGTACATTATTTTTAATAATGGACAGATTTTTAAACTTATTGGACAGTTTCAGGTAACTTATTGGACTGTTTTGGGCCTTGCAAGAAATAGAAAGCATTAAAAGAACAAAAGATGATGTCATACTAATGTTTTAAGTAAAGGTTACATGCCGAAAACTGTCCATTCAGTGAGAAGAAAGAACTATTGGAGGGCCGTTAGGCCCGACAATAATTCTTTTTTCTCACAGAATGGACAGTTTGAGGCTTGTAACCTACTTAAAACATTTCATTCCATTGTGTTCAGAATGGACTCTCTTAGAAAAGTTTCTCTCTTGCAACGTCAATGAAGTAAACATCCTTTGTATTAAATTTGGCATTGTCTTCTTAGTAGACTGTCTCAGGTAAATTTGTTGATTTAAATACTGTGAATAGGATTCACTTCAATTGTTAACTTAGTGGACAGTTACAGGTGAGTTCCTTGGTTTTGTATAAAAAGCATGCACATCGAACACCACTTCTTAGTAAATGTCCCTGCGGTTAGGATGTCCTCTTCAGATGGAGAAAGCGTGTTTTTAACACAAAACAAGTTTAGAGAAGTTGATGAACAAGAAAACAACACGGATGGCATTCTCAGTGATATTTTGGATTTGGAAAGAGAACATCCAAAAAAACAACCGAATTTTGACCTCAAAGTAGATATTTTTTCGGATATTTCTGACGAGGAACTTGTTTAGGCCACCAAAGACATAGAAGGAAAAGAAAATATTGAAAGGTTTGCACGTCTCAATCAAGAAGATTTGGATAATTTGGTTAAGAAAGGTTTATCGAAGAAAACAGAGCAAAAGTCAAAGTGGGCAATGACTCTATTTACGAACTGGCAAAATGAACGAAAGCGTATGTTACCAAACCATGATACATTTATGTACCAGGATATTATGTGAGTGATGAGGAAATCAACAAAACAATGAGTTTCTTTGTAGCTGAAGTAAGGAATAAATCTGGAGAGGATTACAGACCCAATAGCTTGTATGAAATTGTGTGTGCAATTCAACACAAATTACGACATGAAGGTAGATTCATAAACTTTTTGGATGATGATAAATTTCACGATATGCGCAGTATTCTTGATTCAAAGATGAAAGAACTCTCTGGGCGAGGCATGGGGATAGAGCGGAAACGGGCAGAGATCATAACTGAGGCTCAAGAAGATGAAATGTGGTCCAAGGGAGTTTTAGGAAGAGATACACCTCAAAAACTCTTAGATACTCTACTGTTTCAACTAGGACTACATTTTGCACTACGAGCAGGACAGGAACACAGAAACTTGAGGGTTGGGACAAACAGTCAGATTTCTCTTTCCATGGATGCATCTAGACTGCGATATCTCGAATATAGAGAGGATGTCTCCAAAACAAATCGCGGTGGGCTCCAGCACAAAAATCTGCAACCTAAAGTTACCAGAGCATACCAGAACAAGAATGTTCCCGAGAGATGTCCTGTGCTCACGTATGAAAAATATCTGCATTTAAGGCAAGTATATCGTTGTTAATTTTCACCAAAATATTGCTGTAACATATATCTTAATTTAAAACACTTTAATCTATAATATGCAATTTTCTTTTAAAGGCCTGAAGCTGGTAAAACCAATGCTCTCTATTTGCGACCTCTGCGGTACCCCACAGATTCCACTTGGTACGCCGACTCCCCTGTTGGAGTACACACTCTTCAACAGACCGTCGCAAAACTGTGTAAAATAGCAGGATTTACTGGCCACTACACAAACCATAGCCTCAGAGCAACCGCCGCAACACGCCTTTACGATGCTGGCATTGATGAGCAGCTAATAACCGAGAAAACTGGACACCGCTCGACATCTGTTAGATCGTATAAAAGAACAAATGAAGAACATCAGCAAAGAGTGAGCAAAATCATTCACGGTGAAAATCAGTGTGATGTAGCTATCAAGAAAGCCAAAACCGCAGCCGAAAGTGATTCTAATGTGTGTGCACCAGCTGGTGCTAGTGAAATTGAAATTTCGTCTGGAAGTGTATTTTTCAAATTTAAATTCTAAAGTTGGAATAATTATTACAATGTGTGTAATTCGTTGTTCATGAATAACATGTATATCTTTTGTGTTGGATTTGTTGATATTTTTTCTTAGTGCTTACCTGTAACTGTCCAAAAAGTTGTAAAAAAATTTTTTTTAATAGTGGACAGTTTTTCCAACTTATTGGACAGTTACAGGTAACTTATTGGATTGTTTTTGTTATTTCAAGGATAAGAAGGTATTAAAAGAACAAAAGATGATGTCATAACAATGTTTTAATATTTGATTAAAAGTGATTTTGATAGAGTAAAATAAGTCGCAACTGTTACCCCTCAAATCATTAAATATTTCCTTTGACTTGAACATATTGAGCATAAATAATACTTGTACAGAACATAACTTTGTCGGATACATTTAAATTCATTCATAAAAATCTTTCGGATCTTTATTGAGAGTTTTTTTTTTCTAAAGTATAAGTCACATTATCCAACGATGGGGTATACGATGAGAAACCGATGCGTTTTTGATGAAAATGGCGTGGTTGCCGGCCGGGCACCACTAGTGATCGGACGGTGACTGAGTCTTTTTTTGCGAATCGGTGGGGTCATCGGTAGGAAATAATTCGTAGCTAAAATTCAGCGATGTCTCCAACGATGCCTCACATCGTTCCTCATCGGCAACCCATCATTAACACATCTTTCGAGGATCGACCGATGTATGGCCGAGCATCGTCCAATATCCGTTGAATCTGAGGTCATCGGGGAGTGTAGTGGTGTTCAACAGATAACGACCGATCATCGGTCGATGTTCGACCAAACATTGGCCCGTAGTCGACCGATGTGCGAACGATGTCCACCAATGTATGAGCGATGTAATATACATCGGCCGATTATCCTGGAACATTGTTTTATGATTAGCAATGCATCGCTGGGCCTTTGTAAGTCCGGCCGGCAACCACACCATTTTTCTCATAAAAAGCATTGGTTGCCCATCGTATGCACATTGCCGGATAATGTGACTGATACTTTAAGGACTACTAGGCCGATGTGGACCGATGTTGGGGCATCGTTAACACCACGGATTACTACCGATTACCACCGGTCTACGGCTACCGGCCGGGAAATGTGACCTAGGCATAACGCTAGCGGGGCATTTTTAACTGAAATAATCTCCTTTGACTTTGTCTTCAAAATCATGGAATAAATATCTTACTATTTTAGAATCACATTTTTTTATTCTATTCTACACAGGATATAGCTCCCGGTATATAGAGAGTACATATTTAATGTAACTTGATACTCACATCAGCATATAAAAATATTCATCATTGGCTATTATCATGATTATAATTTCTATAAAATACTTGATTCTGATTGGATAAAAAATTGTTTTGATAACTGCATCAATAAAATCTAGAGTTCGCCTGCACTAAGCAGCCGGAACTACTTTGGCTGTCTTTCTTTCTTTATTATCACTTTAAGCCTTACAGCTTATCAGTATATATACAGAATAATCAGTTTCGTTACAGTACAGAAGTGGATATTTTACAGGAGAACAATTATAAATGTGTACTTATTTACATGTAAATAATAGTAGTAAAATCAAACAAATAAACAAAAATAATAGAAAAGATACAATTATTGGATTACCAGATCATCTCTACGCCTCAAGCTATAATAAATATATTTACCAAGGTTACACATATCCTTATAGTTCTCAGTATTAAACAATTGCAATAATTTGAACATGGGTGGTTTTTTAATGAAATATTTTTTAATAAATCTGCTTCGATAATCTGCATAAACAGGGTATACCAGTAAAAATAGGATGGCCTTTCTTTCATCTTCCTTAGCCTTCTTGTAAATGGGGTACAGGCCCTTTCTCCGTTCTTGTATTTCTTTTGGGAATTGTTCATCAATCGAGAGATCTGTTTGTTTTAGTTTGAAGGCATTTTTCCGGATGAGTTCCCGCTGGGGAAATCTGGTGAATTTTACTACAATAGGGCGTGGTTTTTCGTTGTTTTTCCTGCCGATTCTGTGTGCCCTTTCTATTTGAATGTCATTCTCCAATTCTAATTTGTAAGAGCATATTCTCTTAACAATGACTTAACAATTTTCTTGCTCCCTTTCTGGTGCCTCATCTACTCCGTAGAATAACAGAATTTCTCGCATTGATCTACATTGAAGGTCAAGGATATCATTTGTGAGTCTAGCGTTCAGCTTCATGGAATTTTCTAATGCCGTTTTCAATTCAGAAAGATCATTGAGTGCTTTGGAGGTGTTCATATCGTTAGTGTCCAGTGATTTTGAAATAAATTCTTGGCTTTTTTCTACCTCTAGGACACGAGTGTTTAGGCTTTTTATGTCATTTTTCAGATTTGACAAGGACATCTCAAACGATTCTAACTTTTCAAGTTTTTTGCTCATAACATCTAACTGGGAAAAAATTCCTTGAACCTACTGTGGGGTAGCCTGGGGGGAAGTGTTCGATTGGTAATTTTGAAATTGTGATTGCATTGGTGTACTTTGCACTGCCGTCATAGGTATTGATTGCATGGGTTGTAATTGGTGGTATAAAAGATTACCTACTTGTTGAATGTGCTGGAAATGCTGGTTCTCGAAGTCGGCATTATTGTTCTGAATAGTGTTTGGAATCTGTTGACTGGCCGCCATCTTGCCCTGTACAGATTTCTGCCTTAAGTTTGTTTCTTTTTCTTTGGAAGTTTGGAGGGTGAAGGTGACCCAAAATTCATATGAACAGATACTACATACACAGTATTTACACAGTCATACAATATCCCAGTCGGAAAGCGATGCTTCTAAGAGTGAGAGCACAATAAAGGTCGTAAAAAACATGTCCACTTCTGCCCGTGTCACGTGACAAAAGGCTGTCATTACATGCATATTTCTTGCTTCCAGATTACTTTCTGAAAGAATAATTAAATAGTTTTACTTTAATAGATATTTTCTTGAATTTCAAAACCTTAAGTTCTTGACTGATTTTGTACTTTCTTTTCTTTTTGAATTAGGTCCTATCCCCTTTTGCCAAACAAACCAAATCATCTGCATGACAACAATGCAGATATGGGAAAGAATGAAAGAAGTCAGCATACTTATGTTAGATGAATGACTTTGAGATAACTGGTATGAACAATAGAACTGAGAAGACATATTTTTATGCTACCAAATCTAGGAAATGCCGTTTATGCGTTAATTAATTCTTAGGAAACGAATGATCGAGAAAAACGACATCGCATGATGAATGAGGACGGAATTCCTCTTTTAATCTTAAACAGTCAGCAACAGACTCTTTCAGATTATACAGCATTGATAGGTTGTGAACATATTTATATGTTCGGTTTGAAATTCAGATAAAAAGGAGCGCAAATGAAATCCAAAATTTTTGTGGCCTACAACTGTTAGGATATTTCGGTAGCTTCCCTTCACATTTACGAACTTACCATGGAAAATATACCCATTGGGATATAAAAAGTTTTCGATAGGTTTGAATTTAGCAAGAGTTAATTCCCGTTGGCCGCCATACTGGAGGTCCAAATGTTTATATTCCTTCATTGTTCAACCAAAGTGTAATTTTAATCTTTGTTAATTTGAATTAGGAATCATTATTTTTCTGAAGTATATAAATTTTTGGAAGCTTTCTTTATTAAAAAAAATAATAACTAATAAGGATTTTCCACCAAATATATCTGCTATATTTTCTTTAACTTAGTAAGACAAAATTGGAAAACTTATCTGGTCGACCTCCAATATGGCGGCCAACGGGAAGTAACTTTTGCTAAATTTAGGCCCATCGAAAACTATCTATAGCAAAATATGATAAGACAACAGGTAAGTTTTTTGTGTTAAAGAACTGTTTATTATTGTTTCAGAGGGTTGGTAATGACACGACAATATTTTGAGAACACTGTTTTTAGGTCACCTGAGTAACTCAGGTGACCTATTGCTATCCGTTTCCGTCCGTCTTCGTCCGTCGTGCGTCGTGCGTCGTGTGCCAATTTCAACCAAATTTGGTATACAGCATCTATGGGTGAAGGGAAACAAAAATTGTGAATTTCATGGTCCCCGCCCCCATTGGGCCTGAGGGGTGGGGCCAAAACCACTAAATTTATGAAATCTTTAAAAATCTTCTTCTTTACTCCTCGACATCAATCAGGCAAACTGTTGGCATGAATGTAATGAGCATTGAGTCCTCTACCAAAATTGTGAAATTCATGGCTCCAGGGTCAGGGGTTCTGGTGTTAGGGCGGGGCTCTATTGATTATATAGTAAAAATACATTTATTCTTTGAAAATATTTTTCTTTGCTTCTGGGTTTTAAGTCAATGATCCAAGTATATATATATATTTATGATGAAGAAAGGTGCATCTAGCAAAGTGGTTTTAATGCCACCAGGGTCAACGGGGGGGGGTTACATAGTCTGAAAATAAATTAATGTTTTGAAATCTGCTCTTTGGTATTATTCAACCATTTTTTGATAAAATTTGCAAAAATTTGAAATATATGTCCCTGGGTCAGTTGTTCCTTTGGGTTGAGGTGCACAACTGGTTATAAAGTGGAAGTGCATTTTCTCTTTGTTACTCTGATCTACCTCTGGGTATTAAGTAAATAGAGTAAGAATGCTAAGTTAATAATTATGATAAGCAATGGTGCCTCTTTCAAAATTGTAAATTGTGAATTTCATGGCCTCCGGTTTAAACACGAACCAAATTTAATTGTTTGAAAGTTGTTACACAATACTCAGGTGACCTATAAGGCCCGTGGGCCTCTTGATTTTGTTTCTAGCCTATTAGCCATTTTGAATACCAGCAATGTTAACGTTGTTGTGATATATTCATACGCACTGTTTTTCATGCGTAAACTTCATAGTAAAGTGAAATAAATTTTTATTTTATTAATTTCAAATTATAATTAAATGATAAGAAATGAATGTAATATTTTTTTCCTTTGATCGAGAAAAAATTGAACGGCAAACGTTTTCATCAATGCGACGTTCTCCGTCCAATT